ACCCCACGCAGTGTCCCCTCTGTGTCTCCCCCTTATCTTGTAACATTTCTCTGTCTCCTGTGAAAATCTGTTTTCCTCTTTCTGCCATTTGTCAGCATTTCTCTATCCTCTGTGAACGTTTGTTTCCTTTCCCCCATGCTCTGTGGCTTTTCCTTATCTTCTGTGAACGTATGCCTTCCTCTCCCCTGATCCTGTGGCACCGATTTTGTTTTTTGGTGTTTTTTTCTCTGTGAATGTATGTCTTCTGGCGGCTCCAAGCTTTCACCTATGCATTCATCCCCAATGGACCCTCTTTATTCCTAAAACCCCTCAAACCTGCCTATTTTATCCCTAAAACTCCATTTATTACCATAAAGCAGGTGTTTTAACAAATAAGTGGCAGAAGAAGCAGGAAGTCCCTCCAGAGAGTCATGCATGCTGTCACTTTCAGAGAACAATTGTGTCTTCCCCACTGTTTACTCTAGAGGCCCAGAATTCAGACTCCGATTTGGGGGAAGGGTTTATCCACTGTGTCTGTGCCATCAGATTCATGTCTAAGATGCAAATATTTATTGAGTACTCACTACTGACCAGGTATTTTTCTGGACAGAGGGATGTTGCAATGAGATTCTCAAAGAGCCTACGTTTTAGAGGCAGATGGAGATAGACCAAGCAAGTAAATAAGAAAATGAGTGATAGTAAAAGTAAAATAAAATAAACCAGATGCAAAAAAAATTATCTGTATAATTCTACTTGTATAGAATTCAAAAGTAGATAAATTAATGTGTGGCCAGGAAACAAAATAAGTAAGAGAAGAAGAAATAAGAAGGGCGTCAGTACTGGGTATCGCTCTATTTCTTAATCTGGATGTTAGAGGGGTGACCTCACTACATGAGAGTTCACCATCTATGTGTTTGTGATTTGTTTACCTTTTATAATGTGTTCATTTCTGTGAAAGTAGATAACTTTTGTCAACTTAATAATAAGCTCTTTCACAGGAAATAACAAGTGTTGGTGAGGATGTGAAGAAAAGGCAACCCTGGGCACTGTTAATGGGGATATAAATCGGAGTAGCTAATATGGAAACAGCATGGTGCAATCTTCATAATTTTAGAACTTATAGTTTTCTCATTTTAATGTTATTTTTAACATTAAACTAATTTTCAATTACCAGGATTTAAGTTTAGAGTCTTCATTTGTTTTCTTATCACTATTGAGTAATTATTTGATCATATAATGATAGTAAATTAAAAAAGGTCTAATATACATTATAATAAATAATATTGAGACCAAAATACAGTAAGTGAAAAGATTAGAATTTTTTTATGTGTGCTTTAATGGTGTTGCCCTTGTTAATGTATTGTTTTTCAAATAGCCATGACTATTTAAATGTTAGACTTTATTTTAGATCAAGACAGATGCTCAAAACATATTACCATATGAACTATGAATGTTGGCAGGGGATAAATATTCCTAATTTAAAAATAAGTTATAGGAATAAAAAAGAAATGAGCCATTTCCTTTAAATAATGAAATGAGATAAGGTACTCTATTGTCAGAATGTCTGCTCTTACAGGGTTAAAGTAAATGAATTGTGTGAGAACTTCTAACATAGTATGTTGAACTACTGACCTACCATATTCATTGGCAAGTGTGGAGTACTCCAGTGAATCACTTACCTACTTCTTTCTGTGGGTGTAAGAAATTCCTATAGCAGGGAGCCCTCACCCTCCATACCCCCTTGCTTATATCTGTATATATTGTGAGCAGCAAGTAGCTTTGTTACTTCGCTGCCCCTATCCCTCCTGAATGTAATGATCTTGGATATTCTGTTTGTTAATAAAGATCATTCAACAAGCTTCCACAAAATTAAAAAAAAATCCTTATATGTAAGGAAAAAGAAAGTTACATATTTCAGTTTACTTCTTTAAATTCGATCAAGGCTTGTAACTCCGTCAGCTTTTTTTTCCTGAGTATAGTCTTAAAACAAAACAGAAAGAAAATACTTACCTACTGTTTTTAGACAGAATCTGCCATTTCTCCCAGGATTTCAAATGATTCTGAAAAGGAAAGCAAGATTATGAAAGTACTATCTACATGCACATGAGAGTTCATAGTTTTTTTTTTAATTTTTCTTTTAAATAAGAAAATAACTCTGCCAATTATTTCAATGCATATTTATTGAACATTTTAGTATATTTCTGGCCTCAGTCTTAGATATACAAATAATAATCATTTACTACCTTTACTCTAGGCAGTTTATTTTTGGGAAGTGGGTCTCAAAGATAGTTTGAAATTGGAAAAAAAAAGACTTATAAAGTAATTTTTCCAAGATCAGTTGATGGAAACTTAGAAGAATCAGTATAAATTGCAGCATGCCCATATTGTGAGAGAAAAGCAGGCAGGGAAAAACCGTAAGTGCCCACTCCAGACCAACACCAAGATTGTCCCAAGCTAGAGCTCTGGAATGACCTTTAAGACATATGACAGCCTAACAACTGCTCTTTTATGAGCATCAGCCAATCAGAACAGATGTCAGCCATAAACAATGATGCCCTTCCTGGTATATGAAGCGCAGATGGAACTGGGCTGCATGTCCATTTCAGGGCTAGGAAATAGCCATTTCAATGCACATCTTCTTTTATGAGGATGAGATGTCTCACAGTCTGCTTATGCGCAGGAAGGTTGAACTGTTTTTATGCTAGTTGGTAATACACTGTGTTAAGGTGCCGACTACTCATAATTTGTGCTCAGCCTGTACAATCTATTTTTCATTTTCTCTTCTTAGCCTTCAAACTTATCAACACGGAGTTGTTTTCTTATCTGTATTTCAAGAATGATAGGATCGAAGAAGTGGTTAAGAGCCAGGAGGTAGAATTTTACTGTGCAAAGTTTACTGTGCAAACGCAGGATTAAAATCGGACAAATATTTTCTATAATCTAGTACTAAAAGTAAGATGTATATTTCACTGCTAACTGGTGCTTTGGAGCACAACACTTCACAAAAAGCTGGAACAGACAGTCTCTTTGGCTTTAAAACATTTTTTTTTCCTTAGAAAATTAGCTTATAGTCTCATAAAAAGACCTGTAATATTTTAGGAAGACTCCACAATTTTGTGAGATGACCTAAGCATTCCATGTTCGGAAGGTTCATTTTCTGAACTTTTCAAGATTAAAGTAGACTGTAAATAGTATGAACTCTGAGATTACCAGCCAACTAGTACAGTGCTAGTAAATTGTCTCCAGATCAGTGGTTCTCAACCTTGGCTGCACATTAGGGTCACCTGGGAATCTTTTTAAAATCCTGATTTCTGGGCCTCATCCTCAGGAAATTCTGTTTCTTTGTTATGGGGTGGGGCCACAACATTAGTAACACAGAAACAGAATTTCCAGAGGATGAGGCCCAGAAATCAGGATTTTAAAAAGATTCCCAGGTGATTCTAATGTGCAGCCAAGGTTGAGAACCACTGCTCTAGATGCAATGATGATAACAATTCTAACTCAAGTCACCCGGGGGAACAAAAGAAACACAGAGAAATGCTTCTCAGCTGGAAAGAATACAGGAGCAGCTCCCTGGAGTTGTGCTTCATTTATTGGGTTTTACAGATGTTGTATTTTTTATGAATCAAGGCAGGAACCTCTTCCAGCTAAAAGAGTATGACTTCCTTTACTGCGATGCTAACTTTATTATGGCGGTCTGGAATGAACCTGCAGTATCTCTGAGGTATACCTGCTCACAGAAGCAAAGGAGGGAAACCCAGCCTGGATTACACGCGTACCCTGAAAGGTGGTAAATGCAATTGCTAAGGGTGATGGTGCTCCAGGAATACATGGGCTAGAGATGGGTTTTCAGTGTTAATCCAAGAAAAAAGGATGTTAAAAAACTACCCTTGGCATTTGCAAGCACAGGCACCCATAAACACATCACACACATAAAGAGCATTTACCATGATTTAATTTACTCCTGACACCCTTCCTATTAAGAAGTATTTCTAGTGGGGAACTGACTGTGACAGATACATGTGGCATCGTCCAATACCAAGCTGAGCACTAGGGAACTGGGAAGGCAGCCATGCGGCAACAGTTTCTGGAATATGTTCTTCTGCAGAATGGTAGCAGGAGTGAAAAGTCTCAACTCCCAGTGAGGCGGAGGTTGTTCAGTGGGTAAAATCAGCAGAAATACACATGAGTAGATTTTGTACCAGTGGTTGCACATCAGGAATGTATGTTTGAGTCCATGAGGGTGTGTTTTTGTATTGGAATCCTTTATTTATTCAGCTGTGTTTTGGCATTGTATGCTCTATAGGTGGGAGGTATATCCAGTAAAAACATAGATTTTGCCATCCCCTTAAAAAAAGTAGATATTTCCTTTCAAATAATTCCACATGTATGTAGTAATACGTAGGCAAACAATATTGTAGAGGGAGCAAAAATGAATTCCCTATCCCATAGAAACTCATTATCTTGTGTGACACCTCTCCCATCCCACCTGTAAACAAATACAAGTAAAATACTAGAGCAGTGGTTCTCAACCTTGGCTGCACATTAGAATCACCTGGGGATCTTTTCAAAATCCTGATTTCTGGGCCTATCCTAGAGTGATAGGAGGCCGTATAGAAATGTTTTCAAATATTGGCTGTGTATATGTGTGTGGGGGGCTATTTGGGAGAACTTTTAAAAGAAAAAAAAATAAGGGAGATTTGAGGTCTATTCTAAATAATTTTGCTGCATCTTGTTTGGTGAACTTCTACTTGACAAACCTTGAGGATGAGATTGGCGATAAAACCTTTATTGAGGAGAAGTCTGGGAAAGCTAGTGTGAGGAACTGAAATATTATTATAGGCCAAAATCTATCTTAAAATGTTCGCCCAAAGTGAAGGCAACAAAAGCAACTACTAAAAGCTGAAGTAAAGAGCCAGGAATCTGCAATTGAGGGCAATGAGCAGAAAGAGGGTGGAGCTTGCGCTGGCCCGGGACAACATAAGGTGAGAAGCTTTCAGCCTGTTGTTCCGTTGGTCATCAGCCAGTGAGGTAACCAGACCTCGGCCTCCAGGACCCAGTTCCCACTGCTCTGCACAGGTAAGAAAACAGGCTTGCTATTTACTACCTCAATTTATCACAGGATATCTTACAATTCTCAATGATGCACTGTAAGATTTCAAAGCAGAGCTTAATAATAACTGAGATTGATAATGTACAAAGCAGCTGCACTTCATTTAGACAAACATCACATAATTCTGTGGCAGCGGTTTCAGATTCAGTGGTTTATGAGAGCGGGATAAACGTAAGGTATGTAAACATTGCTTGGGGTACAAAATGAGGGAATGGTAAAAAACAAAAAACAAGACCTGTTTAGATAATGTATTCCATAGTGCCCTGGAGTTTGTGATGCAGGGTGAGGGCACCTGTGCAGCAAACACTATCTGTTGCACCTGATAGAGGATACAAATGCTTAAATGGAGTAGAATAACTTTCTACTGACCCATTGTTGAAATATAGAATCACAAGTTTAGTAACTGAAACAAAAACGTCAATTTGATGCTTTTTATTGATACAGTCTGTCCAAACCAGTGGTTCTCAACCTTCCGAATGCCGCGACCCTTTAATACAGTCCCTCTTGTTGTGGTGAACCTCAACCATAAAATTATTTTTGTTGCTACTTCATAACTGTAATGTTCTACTGTTATGAATCGTAATGTAAATATCTGATATGCAGGATGTATTTTCATTGTTACATATTAAACATAATTAAAGCATAGTGATTAATCACAAAAACAATATGTAATTATATATGTGTTTTCCGATGGTCTTAGGCGACCCCTGTGAAAGGGTCGTTCGACCCCCGAAGGGGTCGCGACCCACAGGTTGAGAACCGCTGGTCCAAACCATTAAACAAAACCACAGGTTTTTTGTATTTTCAGTCTTTTCTGTCAGTATTGGTTTCTGCGTTCGTTATGCGCGTGCCTAATGAGGAAGACCGTGCTTACTTCAGTTATTTTGTATTGCTTTAGTGTTGGCCCTTGCTTAGAGAAACATTTGGTTTACATTTAATCTGTGATTCTGGTGTCAAGTTAAAAAAAATATTGACCCAGTTTGAGGATCCTGTGATTTTTAATTTATCTTAGTTATTAAGATATATTGCAACTTAAAATATTTTAGCGGTGTGTTACGTCGGTTAGAGGAGGAAAAATAGTCTGAAGTGATTAAATGATATGTTTTGAAAAGAAACTCCAAAGTAACCCAGTAACCCCACTGTCAATAGGACAGGCACATTTTTGCTGAGCTCTGTGGCACACCTGTGGGGCCACAAACCTGCTGTGCATGTGGGTGTATGTTACCGCATGGCACAGGTGCAGCTAATTGGACCACATGTAGGCTGGGGAGTTGTTTTTGCATCCTTCCTACCATGACAGGTTTCCTGGGGGTAAAGAATGGCAAAGAATGGCACTGGGGAGAATAGCAGACAATTCGGGGACTGAAAGAGAAGTTGTAAGGAGTCAGGATTTAGCGTGTCAGTCCTGCCAGAGCAGTGCGGGTGGGAAGGCTACGTGATGAGATTCTACCACAGTCCTGGACTCTTCCTCTTCTCATCTTCACTTCTTATCCTACCATGTAAGTCACAAATACACACGCAGATAAAAACAGAAATATAAACATATATCGATATGTAAAACAAATGTGTATGTATGTGTGTGCATGAGAGAGACTCTTAGTTACCCTCTTTCTAGAAGGCTAGTCAGATGAAATGACATTCTTCATGTCCTCTACAACACATGCTGACGAATGCCCACAAAACACTGAAGATGCATAATTGTAGCCTACTCTTCAGCACACGGGGGCAGTTCCACTACAGTAACTGAGTTGTGTGTTTACCACAACTAACTTGTCTGCCCCCCTTTAAAAATGTTTATGCCTGTAGGATTTGTAATTGATACATAAAATCAAGAGCTAATTTTTTATTCCAAATATTATTATATTCACAATCAAGTATAAAATAAGAGTTGCTGTTGTTGTGAAAGCCCAGTAGAATACGTTTCTTGCATCCTGTTTATGATTCAAAATGCTATTTTCATAGTTGTTGTGTTGTTTTGGACTGAGGTAGAACTCATTTTTAAAGGTAAAAAATCTCAAATTCTTTATGAAAATATTTCTTGTTGCTTGGCTTGCTACAATTTTCTGGTGCATCCTGCTGTTTATGTTGTTTGTATAGCACACTCATTTTTGCATGAGATGAAGGATATTACAGTGTGGCAATTATTTATATAAAGTGCATGTACCCGCAGCCCAAGTTGCTCCTCTCACTTTCCACTTGTTTTCCACTTGAGATATGCAGCATTGTTGAAGGCCCTAACTCCAACGTGTTTCTCTTTGTCTAGCAAACTTTAGTCTGTTTCTTATAGATTAAGTATGTATATTATTTTTTGCTTCCATTTTCTGAATTTGTGATCCCTTGATGTACTGGAAAATTTCAATCTCCAGAATGTACTAATATGGGGTTCTTCTTGTCTCTATTTGTACATAAACCTCTGACTTTGGGAACTATACCATCAGTATGATGTATTTCCCAGTTTAAAGGATTAATTTACAGCCATGTTTATTAATAAATACCAAGGGAAATGAAAGGGAGTAGGAACAGTTTTACTTTATTTTGTTTGTTCAAGTAGTTGACAGAAACTGATTTCATAGAAAAGTTTTCACCAAAAGAGCCTCTGGTATTGTGGGATTGTTTGATTTATACTGAATGACGTAATACATGATACTTGGCACTTTTTTTGTTTGTCTTCTCCTAATGTAGATTC